TTTCTACTTTGAGAATGAACAATATAATTAAACTCAAAATTGACAATATTATAATACATTTTTGAACTCTTTTGGATTATTATTTTTTCCTAATTTTTGATAAAGTTAATTTTAATATTTAAAAGTATTTAACATTTTGAATTACGAAAGGTTTTCTCTAATAGCAAATTTAAAAACATAATATTCAAAAAAATAGTTAATGTAAGTTTTCATTATGATCAATTATAATTAGAAATGATAGATCATAATTGAGAAGATATGATAGCGGTTCCACGTTAATCGCTATCTAAACTATAATTTAGATAGCGGTTAAGGGTTAACCGCTATTATAAGTGCGCTTTTAAGAGCGATTCCTGTGGATCCGCTATCTAAAATGTATTTCGCTTGAGCGACAATAGTCTCGCTCGAGCGAAACGCCCCTTGCACAAAATTGGCATTCTCGGGTTGTATTTTGCTTGAGCGATTATAGTCTCGCTCGAGCGATATCTGATGAAAAAATGTATCAATAAATAAATAAAATATAGTTAGATAGCGGTTAAGGTTTAACCGCTATTAGAAGTGCTCTTTTAAGAGCGGTTCCAGTGGAACCGCTATCATATACAACCAGATTTTTTTATTCGATCGATTATATTTTCAAAATGATCGATCATATTTGATAATTTTTTCAAATAATTAATTATAATCGATTAGTTTTCTAAATTATTGATTAGAATTGATTAGTTTTTCAAATAATAGATTAGAATTGATTAATTTCTGAAATATATACTAAAAAATTATAATTAAAAATATAAATGATTTAAGAATATTGACTATTGTAAAGATAAAGTTGAACATGAGAGGAGATGAGGATGATAATATAATGATAGAAGTTACAAAAATGTAGAATTGAGAATTTTGAAACAAAAAAATTAAGAAAATAGAGATTTAATTACACTTTTAATAAATTGAAGATAATACTAGTTTTGATTTCTATTTTTAACTATTTATCTTAATTATTTAAAACAGAGAAACTATAATTTTAGTTTCCAAATACTCAATTTAAAGAATTAAATTCATTATTATTTAATCTTTTAATTTGAGTATTAAAAATTTAAATTATATTTTATTAAATTAAAATAATTACAATATAATTTTCTACTTTGAGAATGAACAATATAATTAAACTCAAAATTGAGAATATTATAATACATTTTTGAACTCTTTTGGATTAATTTTTTTTCCTAATTTTTGATAAAGTTAATTTTAATATTTAAAAGTATTTAACTTTTTGAATTCTGAAAGGTTTTCTCTAATAGCAAATTTAAAAACATAATATTCAAAAAAATAGTTAATATAAGTTTTAATTATGATCGATCATAATTTGAAATGATCGATCATAATTGAGTGGATATAATAAGCGGTTCCACGTTAACCGCTATCTTAAGTGCATATTAGATAGCGGTTAAGTTTTAATCGCTATTAGAAGTGGTTTTTAATAGCGGTTCGAGTGGAACCGCTATCATATACAACAAGATTTTGAGATTCGATCGATCAGATCTTCAAAATGATCGATCATATTTGATAATTTTTTCAAACAATTAATTATAATCGATTAGTTTTCTAAATTATTGATTAGAATTGATTAGTTTTTCAAATAATAGATTATAATTGATTAATTTCTAAAATATATATTCAAAAATTATAATTAAAAATATACATTATTTAAGAATATTAACTATTGTAAAGATAAAGTTGAACATGAGAGGAGATGAGGATGATAATATAATGATAGAAGTTACAAAAATGTAGAATTGAGAAGTTTGAAACAAAAAAAATTAAGAAAATAGAGATTTAATTACACTTTTAATAAATTGAAAATAATACTAGTTTTGATTTCTATTTTTAACTATTTATCTTAATTATTTAAAACAGAGAAACTATAATTTTAGTTTCCAAATACTCAATTTAAAGAATTAAATTCATTATTATTTAATCTTTTAATTTGAGTATTAAAAATTTAAATTATATTTTATTAAATTAAAATAATTACAATATAATTTTCTACTTTGAGAATGAACAATATAATTAAACTCAAAATTGAGAATATTATAATACATTTTTGAACTCTTTTGGATTAATTTTTTTTCCTAATTTTTGATAAAGTTAATTTTAATATTTAAAACTATTTAACATTTTGAATTCTGAAAGGTTTTCTCTAATAGCAAATTTAAAAACATAATATTCAAAAAAATAGTTAATGTAAGTTTTAATTATGATCGATCATAATTTGAAATGATCGATCATAATTGAGTGGATATTATAGCGGTTCCACGTTAACCGCTATCTAAAGTGTATATTAGATAGCGGTTAAGGTTTAACCGCTATTAGAAGTGGTTTGTAATAGCGGTTCCAGTGGAACCACTATCATATACAACCATATTTTAAGATTGTGAAGTCTCGGGTTGTATTTCGCTTGAGCGATACTATACTCGCTCGAGCGACATCTGATTCTAACATGTGGTCTCCCATGTTACATTATCCGGCTAACTTTGTCGACGTTTACACAGGTCAACATTCGCTCAAGCGATAATAAGGTCGCTCGAGCGAGGCGACCTGCACAAAATTGGCATTCTCGGGTTGTATTTCGCTTGAGCGACAATGGTCTCGCTCGAGCGACGCCACCTGCACAAAATTGGCCTTCTCGGGTGGTTTTTCGCTTGAGCGACACTGTCTCGCTCGAGCGACATCCACATTTTTTGGTTATGATCGAGTACATTTTCAAATGATCGATCATATTTGAAAATATATAATAGCGGTTAAGATTTAACCGCTATTAGACGTGATATATAATAGCGGTTAAGTTTTAACCGCTATTAGAAGTTCTATTATAATAGCGGTTAAGATTTAACCGCTATCATATACTACCACATTTTTCACTCTCGTATCTCGCGCCACTTATCCCCAAATAACCCTAACTCTCGCGCCTGACTCACCCATTCCTCTTAACCTTGGCCAGTATCTCCTCCTCACTCCCGGCGAGCCCTAGCCCCCTCACTGCTCCCCCCAAGTCAGCCCTCACCCTAATCCAACCTCCACCAAAGCTCCTCGTCAATCGGACGCCACCACCGTGAGCCACCGCACCACACCTCTGTTCTTAACCTCCTCACGAGCCTCGACACCCTCAACCAAGGTTTGGCTTGTTTGAATGTATATACTTGTTATTCTCTTGCATTGTGAATAATATAGGAGAGATAATTTTGACAGAATTTCTTTATGGTTTGTTGTAGGTGGATTTGTGAAGTAGATAGGTTCTTCGAGATCCCTCTTCTCTGCGGATTTGGTGGTGCTTGACAGACCAATTTGGGAACTTGTTTTGTTTTGTTTAAAATATGAACACCATTGTTATGTTTAAAATATGAAGGAATTTTAGCAGAGACCTTGTGCACACTTGTTCTTTTGTTTCCCTCTTTTACCTAGCGAGGTGCAGGGCGGCGATGGCACTCGGAGTAACAAGCAAATCGTTGTGCTTTCTATAATTGCGGGTTCCTTGGGTGACGGGTGCTTCACTGTCTTCATATTTTTATTCCGAGTTTGATTTTAGAAAGTTATGTGTGCATGATGTATCCTTTATAGTGTGTGTTGCGTAAACATAATAAGATCTTCAATTAACAAGAGGCCATGATTGTTAGGCTAGATGGTTTTGTACACCATTATCCTTCTGTTTCATTTGAGGAAAATCCGAGGTACCAAGGTGATAAATAAACTTATTTTGTGATTAGTACAAGACACACTATACTTACATTATGGAAAGCAATACTTGAAAGATTGTTACATTGAAGGGAGTGTGGACTTCATTTTTGGTAATAGTACTCGCACTCTTGGAACATTGTCACATCCATTGCAAGTCCGTAGGGTTTATAACCGCACGAGCGAGAAACTCTCCACGAGGAAAAAGCTGGTTATGTATTCTCGAGGTGTGTGATCATGCCTAATACTTACAACATCATCTTCCCACATAATATTTTTTTTAGTCATTGTAACTTGTTTAATAAGGATAGAGACATTTCCCAATCATCTTGTTTCCCCTACAATACAACGAGTGTTAGTGACTCTTACTTTGTTTTCCAATTCCAAGGCAAAATATGTTCTCTCTTAGTTCTTCGATGTGAAATCAAGTAAGTACCTAGGTTGAAGTTTATCATCATGATCGAGTCATGTTTATGAAAAGCTGATTAAGATAATGAGAGAATGTTGGTTTTGAAGATGATCTTGCTTTTAAGTTTTGCGGTTTGGTTTGTAAATGTTTAGAAGCATGGCTAACACGGATTTAGGAGTATTTAATTAGAAAAAAACATTCTAGGTTAAAACAAGAACCAGATTCTCTTGAAGCTAGGGAAATGATCCCTTGAAAATTCAATGAATTCGGGAATCCCGTAAGAAATCTTAGAATAAAAATCTTTGAATCTCATACTACTCTATGCTTCCTTGTCAATATTTTGCTCCTCTCCCTTTACAGTGTTTCTTTGGTGTGTTAATCTGTTAAACTTCCGAGTCCAAGAAAGGATACTACACAAGTAAAGTACTTTTATTATGTTGTGAACATTTTGGTTCCTTAAATGATGTTTTGTTTGTGGTGTCATTGCAGATGTGTTGTCACAGGTAATGGGGGAACTTCATATGCATATCTGGGAAGACCATGGAGACCTTTTGCAAGAGTGGTTTTTGCATTCACTTTCATGGATCAATGTATAAAGCCTGCAGGGTGGAATAATTGGGGAAAAGTTGAGAATGAAAGAACTTCTTGCTTCTATGAATACAAACAATCATTTCTAACTCCATTCTGTAGTATTGTTATCATCACCAAGGCCTTCTTATACTCATTAAATCAATGGATCTGACAGCAAAATTGTTGATAATTTCATAAAAACATCAAAGTGAAAGAGGGTCTAAAGTGTATAAAATTGTTGTTTATTGAGTTGAACAAGTTTGGAGTAATTTGATAAGAGTGCAGGTGTTCGGACCGGGTTTCGTCCATCCCAAAGAGTGAAATGGGCCGAGAATTGAAGAATGAAGGAGTTGAGCGGTTTCGAGTCACACCTTCATTGATCCGAATCGAACAGATCTTGGCTTCCTCAAAGAATGACCTTCAATTATTAATTAGGATTATTATTATAATAGAATAATTAATAGATCTTGGCTTCCTTCATAAAATTCCTACTACAAGTCAATATGACACCGACAATATACTAGATGACTAATTTTCAATTTTATGATATTAAGACTTTGAATCTTGAGTAGTTGTTAAGTTCTTAAGTTTCATTTGTGTTATGTTTGGATGAATTAAGCACGTACAAATTTTGTAAAATTGGATATACAAAATTTGACTTTAGTTCTTAAGTTTTCATTTGTGTTATGTTTGGATGAATTAAGCGAGTACAAATTTTGTCAAATTGGATATACAAAATTTTAAACGAAAATTTTTAGATTTGGTTAGATTAGCGATCGAATTTTGGTCGCTACAAATTTATTATAATATACAATTCAAATTTAGCGACCGATTTAGCGATCGATTTAAATTATTATTTAAATAATTCAATTAATATATTAGCGATCGATTATATTCGATCGCTATTATTTTTAACTTTGTCTCCATTTTAGCGACCGATTTAGCGACCGATTTTAATTATTATTTAAATAATTATATTAATATATTAGCGACCGAATATATCGGTTGTTATTTTTTAAAACTTTACCACGGATTTAGCGACCGATTTATTATATTATTTTCGGTCACTATTTTGGTCTTCAATGCATAAGTGACCAAATTATTTAGCGACCACCTCATCGGTCACTAACAAATTAGCAACTTGCCCTTTTGCGACCAACCATTTTGGTCGCTAACGAATAGCGATCGATTTTTGCCCATTAGCGATCGATTTTGTCTGGTCGCTAATAGCGTTTTTCTTGTAGTGTATATTATACATATTATTAAGTTATTTTAATATAAACTACTTAGCTCATTCTTATATCATATATTTATATTATTAATTTTATTATAATGATAAAAATATTATTATATTTATCATGATATTTTAAATTAATTCTAAATAAAATAAGTATTTTAATTATTAACTATAAAATTATTAAAAAAATAATTTGTAAATAATAATTCAAAATTTGATTGATTAATAAAATAATTACAAAATATTAATTAAATCATTTTTGGCAATTTCTTAAACCTCTAATAAATTTTAAGTAATTATAAAATATTGTATATTTTATAGCGATTTTTAATTGTTAAAATATAAAAATAATCATTTAAAAAAATAATAAAATAAAATTATAAAGTTGTATTAAATAAAATATAAAATAGTGTTGAATAATCATAGTTAAAAAAATAATTCAAAATATTCCTATTTATTTTTCGATGATAATATAAAATATAAAATAAGTGTTGAATAATCATCGTTAAAAAAAATATTATTTCAAAAGATCCCTATTTCTTTTTCGATGACAATAGTGATTATGGATTGCTAACTTTCATATATTGTCATTAATAATATAGGTTTATATTTATATATACATATAAGTAAAATAGAACTCTAAAAATGTTAATGCACATAATGTTTCATGTCAGCCAAATAAATATGCTAATGCAACATCTATAAAGTTTTTTTTTTTAACTCCAATATATCCTATTGATGTTTCTCTAACCTGAATTTCTAGTATAAGTAACTACAAGGAACACGAAGTTTACTATTAAACAATAATCCATCATGTCTCTAATAAACCCTTCGAATTTTAGGTAATAAAATAAACAAATAAGAGAAAATGAATTAGAGACATGAGTTTAAATTTAGCTTCCTTACTTGCAATAGACTTCTATTATAAATAGATTATATCATCTTTCATATTATGCCAATAGAAATGTTCATGCAATACGTATAAATTCTTTTGAAATCCAAAATTTCTCATTAATCATTATGAGTTTCTTTATCGAGTATTTTTCGCAAGAAACTGCGAGGTGTTGGAATGAAACTGTTGAAGTTCCTTGGAGTTATTGGTTTGAAGTTGTTGTATTTGATAATCCAGCTATTTCTTGGAGTTCTTTTTTCTTTTGAAAACTTGAAACTATTTAAGATGTTTGTAGTGGTTGCATGTAAGTTTCTCTTTATTAGTTTAATCTTCAATTAGTGGTGGAACCAGAAAATTAATTTTAAAAAGATTAATTCAAATAAATAATTTTTTTCTTAATAAAATTTTAAAAGAGAAACATTGAATTACAAATTATTCTTTTATTGTATTTGTTTTATGTTATCAATGGATATCATATATGGTGGTAGGTGGATTTTGGGGAACAACGTGGTCACGGACCCCAACCAATATTTAGTATCTATAATTAATTTTTTAAATTAAATAAAATGTTTTTTAAATTTAAATAAAATTTATGTTTTATCTTCAGAAATTTTAATTTATAATAAATATCATTTATTCTTTTTTATAATTTTTTAGTTACATTTTTGTTTTCTCTTTTTTTCTATCTTCAACTCTTATCTTTTTACTTTTTCACTTCAAATTTTTGTATCCGACACTTTTTCACTATTTTTTTCTTTTTAATTTACCGGTTATTTACTTTCATATTCTTTATTTATATGATTTCACCTTATAATATAAAAATTGTACTTTTTTTCTCTTCTATTTATGTTAGAGACATTTTCATGTTGGAAAAAGATAATAAATGAAAAAATAAAAAATATCTAATAAAAATTTTCTTAAAGTAAATAAATAGAAGTAAAACTATTTTCTTTAATTTTTTTTATTATAACAAATTAACATGTGTAGTATAATATAAAAATATGAAATATTGATAAAAAAGTTATTATAAATTATTTAGTTATTTTAATATTCTATTATACTTTATTTTGATGGTAAAATATAAAAAAAAATCATGTTAAATTTTAGAAATGTCTTTGAAAAAAAATTATAGATTAAATTTCAAAAAATAAATAAAAAGATAGATAATATATTAAGTTCTAGTTTCCAAAATTTAAATTTAACTGACATTTTTTCTCACAATTAATTTTTACATGCTCCCCTCATTTAAAACCTAAAGACCTTGTTATGAATCAAGTTGTATGATTTTCAAGATAAAATAGCATTTTAAAAGAATAAAAAAAGGAAATTAGGAGATACATGGTCCACGGGATATATTCATATGCCGCGTCATGCCACTTGAATGGACCAACCATCCCTAGAATTAGAAATATAGAGACTGGTTCATACTTTGACAATAAAAGTTTTCTTCCATTACGCCCTCTACTTTTACCCTATAAATCCCCAGCTTCGATCCACGTTCACTACACCAATATCATAAACCGAACACTAACATTTTCTACTACTGCGAGCATCCACTGCATTAATTATTTCTGAGAATAGAAAATCCCCTTTCACTCAGTTGTGATTTATGGCTCTTGCTGCTGCTTGCTCCATGCACATGCCACTGCTGCAACCATCCAACTCTAGTACGCAAAATGCAATGACTAGAGGGAGTACTGTTCTACAAGCCAAAAGAAAACACGACGGAGGAAGAGGACGTGATCCACAAACAAATAGCCTAGAGCTATCTAAAAGCGAAAGAACCAAAGAGAGAGATATTGTTCTACAAACAAAACCAGAACACGACGGAGGGAGAGGAGAGGGTCCACAAACAAATTAAATAGCCCAGTTACCAGTTTGCATAACGTCAGTGAAGACCTCAAAAGTTTTGGGTCTTTGCTATCCTTGACGTTTGTGACCACAACATCATTACCATCCATTCGTAGATAACAGAACATTTTAACTTACTAGCTGTGTTTCTTTCTATTGTTTGTATTTTCCTCAGATATTTTGTTTAGTCCTTATCTCACTCACTAATGTGAAACTTGTGATGTTGAGGTTAAAGATTTTTGTCGTAATATTGTAATTTAATTATGAATTCTGTATTAGAAGAATCAATTGATTAAATTCTACTCTTTTTTATTGTTAAACATTAAGAAGGTTATAATTAATTCGATTCTTCAAAAAATAGATTATATTTCAGAAAACAAAATATGATATAAACACAACCATGATAACAATGAGTCATAAATGCTGTCAAGAAAGGTAGTAGTTTTTTTTTTCTTTATTATTAAAAAGAAATTGTTTTTCTGTTTAATGAATTATTTTTCTAGTATACACTCCTCCTATATTTCTAAAAGGAAAATATGGAGGATCTGGGTAAGATGTTATGTTTTTGTTTCATTAATTTTTTTTGAAGGGTAAGGAAAGTGACATACAATATGGAATGTGATAAAATATTGAGTATTACTTAAAAAAAAAAAAACAATTGAACAAAAAATAAATGAAGTATACATTGTTACATAATTAAAAAAAGTTGTTATGATATACTATCTCATAAGAAAAATATGGATAGGCAAGACAGTAATTGGGATGCATACCAAAGATATAAAAGAAAGTAATTAATAAGATAATTTTATTGCTTAGGGAAAAATAAGAAAAATATATACAATTGTAAAATTTATTGTTATTGATGTATGTAATGTATCTGCACAATTATGGAATAGACACAAGAAATGAAAAATAAGAAAAAAAATTAAATTACCATATTTTTATAAATAAATAAATAGACACATGAAGATACATAAATATGCATTTAAAACAATATGAAGAAATAGAGACTGTAACTATGTAATTATAACATGTCTCTTATTTTAATAATAAATATGATATTTATACAGAGGTAGTGTTTGGCTGAAATATTGAAGAACCTTGAGAGCTATAATTTACTAACCAAAAGACAAGTTGGGTGTTGTTAAAAAGCAGACAAATACTTAGCAAATCTGAGTTATTATTCTTAGACAAACAACAAGTTGCACTAAAGTTGAACATGAATCCATAGTAAAATTACGCGTTCGAGACTTTGAGGTCTTCAAACTATAAACACTTGACATGTTAATTGTACTTTTCTTCCCTTATATATATATATATATATATATAAGTTAACAAATATTTACAAAGCTTTCGTCATTTATGTTGATGTGAAATTTATTATTACTAAGTTTTTTCTCATATATATATATTGATATAAACATTAAGGACTTTATTTTTTAAATAAATGTTTATTCTAGGACATCCTTATTTTTTTAGTTTTTGAATATAATATAAGTTGTTAATCTTCAAGTCAACTTCACATAATTGATAGATTTTTTTTTTTGAAAGTATTCTAAATTTTGTGTGGTTTTTATGTTTTTCTTTTTAAAATCGTGAACCATAAAACAAGTGGCATGGTGTTAAAAATACGTACATAGATAAAAACAATTCAAAAGAACAAAAGAAAAAAGAGTTGGGTTTACCCGGTCAACGGGAAATATTCATGCTGGGTCATGCCACTTGATTGGACCAATCATCCCTAAAATTAGAAATATAAAGACTCGTTCATACTTGACAAATTCTAACAGTCACACATGTTAAGTTTTTCTACCATGCGTCCTTACTTTTTCCCTATAAATTCCCACCTTCATCCCACCACTACACCAAGCATACTAACGTTTTAGGCTCTGAACAACTTCCGCATTAACTATTCCCTTGAACAAGAGAAAATCAACATTAATTTGGTCTGTCGTTCATGGCTCTTCTTGCTAGTTTCATGCACATGCCACTGCTGAGAACGTCCAATTCTAAGGCACACAAACCTATGACCGTGACAATGTAAGTTTTTGATACATGAGTTCTCTAGATTATGCCATTTTTCATCTATTTTGTTTTACATATACGTGTTGCCTCGAATACTATTTTAACAACATAGTTAATTTGACTGTAATATATGGTAATTTTTTTAAGAGGCAAAACAAATTTTATCACCCCAAGACTTGGCATGACCAGAAGGTCTGATTACACTACACACAATTATTATTTCTTCGGATAGCAGAGCATGCAGTTGCGACAATAATAATACAAAACGAGCAAAAAGGAGAGGGATTGTTCTACAAACCAAAAGAAGGCACGATGGAGGGAGAGGACATGATCCACAAACAACTAACGTAGGGTTACTGAAAAACACAACAAGTGGAAGGAGAGGGATTATTCTACAATCCAAAAAGAAACATGACGGAGGGACAGGACATGGTCCACAAACAAATAACATAGGAAGTAGAAGGAGAGGGATTGTTCTGCAATCGAAAAAGAAACACGACGGAGGGAGAGGGCATGGTCCACAAACAAATAACAGAGGGTTACTCAAAAGCACTGCAAGTAGTAGGAGAGGGATTGTTCTACAATCGAAAAAGAAACACGACGGAGGGAGAGGACGTGATCCACAAACAAATTAATAGCGGCTCCTCAATACTCAAAATCATAACCAATGTTTTATTTTTGGAACACTATGCAGATCTCTAAGTAAGTCTGCAATGAAGACGTGAAGAAAAGTATATGGAAAGAATTGGTTTAAAGTTTAAGTTGAAATAACAACGAATAGTTCTTCTTAGTCCTCTGCTAAGGTAACTTTTCTTTTAAGGCCAAGAACCTCCGACGCTATCGTATTTCAGATTTGTATAATAACTCATACAGTTGGTATCCGGAATATCTTTTCGAGTTGAGATCTTGTCAGACGTGTCTATAGAAAACACTCTAATACAAGCTAAGTAAATAATAAACAGTGAACATCTCTTAAAAATCTCGTCTACTTATATTGATGGACTCCTTTCCTGTGGGAAAACGTTGCCCTAGCCGCATAGCTGTAGTATACCCGTTTTACTGTGTTAGAACAAGACAATAATAAAGAAAGAATAAAGAGAAAAATAAATGACAAGAATTTTAACGTGCTTTAAAAATATGTACGTCCACGACTACACTAGAAGTATTTTTATTTCGTGCTGTCTCAAACTTTACATAGGGTCTTATATAACAAAATAGAATCTCATCTCACAATCCTAATCGATGTGACTAAATCAAGACCATATACTAACAATTCTCCCACTGAGTTTGATTTACGTACTACCTAGTGTAGTGCCTTCATCATCAATTTGCTCAAGGCCATTGAGGAATGCAAAGCCTCAACTTAGTTGTTGTAACGATTTGGTCAACATATCGTGGATTCTCTGCACTGAATCTTCAACAAACTCAAGTCTCCATCATTTATCGGTTCGATAAAATGATACTTCAATTCAATGTGCTTACATCCGAATGAAGGATTGATTTTTACAAACAAATAAGACTTTGACGTCACTAAACAACGGAGAACCTACAGTATAATGGTCATGAGTTTTTCCAAGAGAGGGCGACAATGAGAAATAAGTCCAATACATAAGAGATTGAAATCATTTCTAGTTTAAAATATTAAAATATTAAGTTTTGAGTTTTTTTCTTTATATATTACTTAATTTTCTTATTTAATACACATGACATGAATTGTGTGCTCATGATACAGGAACGATAATATCATTACGAATGATTTTTCATATGAATATAGATATGAAAATAATATGATTTATTAATATACTTTAATTTAAGTAATTAAAATTAAGATATTATTAATATTTAATATTTTGTTATAACTTTATTATATATATATATATATATATATATATATATATATAAATTGTACCACAATAATTATTGTATATATTTCTAACAAATATATATTAAAGTTTAAATCTAAATTATTAATAAAGCAAAAATTTAAATAAATTTTTATAAGAAAAAAGTCATGAGACTCTAAGAGTTTTTACTTAGGAGAATATAATCTAAATTTATTGGTCATACTTAATTATAATTTAAATAAGAGTTGTGACTTTTTTTTTCAATTTAATATGCATTTTAATGGTCTAAAATGTAAAATTATTTTAATTTAAAAAAAATTTGAATTAAAACTAGTGTATTCATTTATTTATGAAAATTTTAATGTGAAATTTTATTTTTACAAATAACTCATTTTTCAAAACAAAAATTGTAAGGGTCAAAACTTTAGTTGTAAAAAAGAGAAATAATGATTAAATGGAGTTAAGTTTGAAATTTTTATCTTTGAGATAAAAATACTTTAAATAAAAAACTCTTACGGATCAAACTTCATTCCTATAAAACCATCACATCTCTAAACTCTAAATCCTCTTTCTTCTCTCAAACTTTTTCATCCAATTCGTATCTTTTTCTATATTCAAATGCAACATTGTTCTTCTAGTGACGAGGGGAACATTTCTATTCGATCAAAATCTTAAATAGAGTAAGTTTTTCTTTTTCAATTTTAGAGTATTTTTACAAATTTGGGGCTAAGGTTTTTCATATGGATCTTCGAGTCTTACATGTGATATTGGTGGGGTAAAGATGAAATTTGACAAGTTTAAGAACATTATAGTAGGTTCTATGTGTTAATTGGGGTTTTATATGAATAAGATCTGACACCTTAAGAAATTGGAAATTTGAAGCTTTCAAGCTTGAGAACATTGAAATTAAAAGATAAGAAAAACTAGTTGTTCTTTGATTTCTATATTACTCTAGGTTAGAAGATCTAAACTACGGAGGTGACTTGGTTATATTGTTTGATTTGCAGAAAACTAATTTGTTCTGTTGTATCTAAAATTATGATTGAATAAGTTAAGATAGAGTAATGATGTCTATAATCTGGTAGGATATGAAAGATATAATTAGACTAGGTGTTGAATATAGAAGAAATAGAGTTTGAGATTAATATTCCTTGTATATAAATCACACATAGGATAATCTATTTATAGTAGAGAGATACAACTAAAAGAGTAACTGAAAGTAACAGAATAAACAGAAGATA